GGAGCGAGCCCTACATTGGGCTCCCTGCTCAGCGGGAAGTCTGCTTCTCCCTCTCCCACTCCCCCTGCTTGTGTTCCCTCTCTCGCTGTGTCTGTCAAATAAATAAAATCTTAAAAAAAAAAAAAAAGTGGATGGTACATATAAGAAAGTTTAACAAGAGTTGAAACAAAAGATTTTCTAGTTTCTGAATGAGGTCAACAAGGAAATGCACTGAAGCAAATATCCAACTTCTAAAGGTGTTTGTTAATCCATTTTACCTAAGTGAGTTAAGATTTAAAAGTATAAAGGTAAGACTCATCCTCTCCTATTTCTAAAGCATTATAGACTCCAAATTAAGGAACTATTTAACATTTAATTCATGCTTATGGCCAAGATATGTCTTATATTTCCTTAGACAAACCCCAAATCAAATACTATATCCCTTTACCCCTGCAAGTAGAATCCCCAAAATGGAATCAAACCACATTCCCAGACAACACCCTGAAACCACATAAATCCTTTTTCAGACCATATACATGCCAGTCATTATTTCTGTTTATTCAGGAAATCTGCAGAACCAGCCGTAATACTTTTGCCCAGAAATTGCTCATCTAAGAGGGAAAAACTACTTTGAGAAACAAGTTTCTAAAGGCAACCTATTGCTAGCAAAAATACCTTAGACTAACACTACCATGTTAATACTTAGATATTACCTAGGTATACTTAGGTATACCTAGGCTTTCTAGAAAACTATTTGTGAACCCTAGGAGTTCTGCTTCAATCCTCTGACCCTGCTACTCATTCAAAAATAGCCAGTTTAGTTAACAGAATACTTAATAAAATAATCATTTGTGCCCAGAGGAATCCCAGTTACCTATAAGTAAACCTAGAAGTGGTCATTTAGAAGGAATCTGTTAACACTCTTCCTCAGGAATTCCTAGAGAACAGGATAAAGTTTAGGCTCTTACCATTCTGACTTCAGTGACTTCAAGAAAACTTCTGCACCCTCACCATTTTACTCCAGCCTTCCTGACAACTTGACACATCATTTCACAAAGAGCATTAGGACATCAGTTTTTATTTATACTATATAGCCCAAGGAAATTAGTGAGTTGGAAAATGGGACACTTCATAGTCAAGTGGGAAAGACAATTACATAATTGTGAAGGAAACAAACAGAGTGAACCAATAATGGAGAGAAGACTTGCAATTTAGGGTGCTGAGCAAATTCCTGAGGTATTGAGAACCTAAAGGCTGAAAGGGTAATAGTTACGAAAAAAGCAGGGAGCAAAAATGTTCTAGGTAGAGGGAGAAACATATGCAGTGGCTCCAAGGCAGGAAAAAATGTGTTGAGGACATTTTAAAAAGACTAGTATGGCTGAAATATAACATGAAACAGAGGAAGATATGGCTGGAAGGATTCACAGGGGACCGATCATGCCAGCCTTTGGGAAGCTATTGAAAAAGAGTTAAACAACGAGGTAATATAATCCCACTTACATATTTTGAAGATAGTACTCTTCGGTAGTGGTACAAGAATAGAAGCAGGGAGACAAATAAGGAAAGCCTTGCAGACATGTAAATAAGAGATGGTGGTGGGGATTAAGGAGTGCATGTGTCATGATGAGCACCAGGTTTGTACAAAAGTAATGAATATCACTATATTCTACACCTGAAACTATTACATTGTATGTTAACTGGAATTTAAATTTGAAAGATTTTTAATGGGGCATCTGAATGGTTTAGCCAATTAAGTGTCTGACTTGATCTCAGCTCAGGTCTTTATCTCAGGGTCCTGAGTTCAAGCCCCGCACTGGGCTCCATGCTGGGTGTGGAGTCTACTTAAAAATGATTGCTAGGGGCACCTGGGTGGATCAGTTGGTTAAGCGACTGCCTTCGGCTCGGGTCATGATCCCGGAGTTCCGGGATCAAGTCCCACATTGGGCTCTCAGCTCCAATGGGAGTCTGCTTCTCCTTCTGACCTTCTCTCTCATGCTCTTTCTCAAAAAGTTTGCTAGATGTGGGGCACCTGACTGGCTCAGTTGGAAAAGCGTGTGACTTTGGATCTCAGGGTCATGAGTTTGAACCCCATAGCAGATGTAGAGATTACTTAAATAAATTTTTAAAAAACGATGGTTATTCAGGCATTGGCAATCAGGAAACTTTTAATGCCATCTCAGATTAAAAGATGAACACAAGTTAACCAAAGGGTAAGGGCAGTGCAAGCCACCAAAGAACACATACAGTGGCATTAGATCCCAAGACCATAACCCATTTGGACAAGGTAAATAACCTGGTATGGCAATAGCAAAGGGTATGTGACAAGAGTGAAGACAGGAAGATCAGCTATTAGAAAACTATTGCAATAATCCAAGCGATGAGAATATAGTGCCCTGAACTCAATCAGTGGCAATAGGGAGGAAGAGGCAAAATTGTGCCCACGTATTATTATAAAAGGTAGAAGAGACTGGCTGGATTTGAAGAAGGGACGGCAAAGGAAGAGAAATTTGGGATCACCGGATTGGGTGATTATGGTAGAGCCAGGTGTGTGGGAAAGATGAGTTCAGCTTTGTAATATAATGGAAGTGCCAGAGAGGAGGCAGTTGGACACATGGCAGTCTCCAAGTTATAAAGAGGCTGAGGCTGGGCATATACATTTAGAAACTACAGGTAAACGTGATGAATAAAGCCTTAAGAAAGACTGACCATCCAGGAAAGTAGAAAACAAGCACAGCTTAATCCAGAATGCTGGGATGCACTAACGTTGAAGGTGAGTTAGAGCAGGGTTTCTCAACAGCATTGATGCTTTAAGCTGGATAATTCTGCTGTGAGTTGTTGTCTAGCACATTGTAGGATGTAGGTAGGATCCCTGAACTCCACCCACTAGATGCCAGGAGGACCTACTCAGTTGTGACAATCAAATCTGCATCCAGGCATTACCAAATGTCCCCAGGAGGGAAAATCACCCCTATTTGAGAAACACTAGGACAGAGTAGAAGTCTCCAGGACTCTAATAAAAGGTTCTGAATGAACTCCCTCAATCCAGAAGATTCCTCCAAAGTCTCTGTGCATAATAGTACTGTTCTTGGTGCCCTTAAAAGTACAAAGAAATGAGGGTGGCATTCCACTGTAACCAACCTACAGGGCATTGGAATATCTTTATGAACTAGATTGGATCAAATCCATTATTAGAAATCCCATTTCTGGTATGAGGCTACAGTGGAAAAAATATTCTTTTGTAAAAATTTTATTCACAAATGACAACAAAAAATATGTGACCCTGCCCCCCAATACAGGATTAGATGTCACCATCATGTTCCATAAGCCCCAGCATTTCTCTATCATGAGAATAATACCTAACATTTTCCAAGAGTTTATGATTTAATCTCCACTTGACCCTCATGAGAAGTAGGAACTGCTATTAAGTCATTAGTTGAGGAAACTGATGCAGAGGGGTTAAGTAACATGCCCAAAATCACATCGAGTGATCAAACTGAGATTGGAACCTGTCTTTTCCAAAGCCCATGCTCTAAGGCTAAACACTTTACCATTATTCCAGATGGCCTCCATTAGGGTACAAGCGCTATGAGGAAGGGGCTAGTTCTGTCATTGTCACCATTGTGAAATGGTGAAATAGCATTTGGCTCATGCCTAGAACAGGAGCTCACATATTTACTGAATGAGTCTCAGTTCAGGCCTAACTTAGTCGCAGATCTGCTCTGAGATGTTTAAGATCCTGAGAGCTCAGACAGTAAGTGTGGGCTATTGTCTTCCACTCCTGACAGGAAATAAGCAGTCACAGTAACTGATAACTGTATTGCTGGAACTAACTTTTGAGAATTTTGTTCCAGAAATGGAGGCTCAACCATCAACCCTGATTCACTTCCATTAAAGCAGTACCCTCCCTAGTGCCTCCTTATCCAGGAGATGCCAGTTACACTGAGACTTCAAAGAGATGGGGGGAGAGTAGAAACAAATTAAGTATAGAATGGAATATTTCTGCAAAATGAAGTTGTAAATACTATTTGATAGGATCAAAAATTGGTACTCAAGGGTAAGTTTTCCAAATATTAGATAGGCTTTTTTTTAACATTCTCTACCTTCTATTCAAAAATGTTTTAGGAATTTGAATAGGTATTACCTCTACTACTGGACACACCTGCCTTAACATATTTTTCCTCATTAGACAGCCTTGGTATCTTTTTGATGAAGGGACTCTATGTCTAGAAGTATGTAAAGTCCTCAAAAAGGATGAAAAGATTAAGCTGGTGATACCAAATACTGTAACAGACAGTAATTATTATGTATTATTTTTCTGGGTCCAGATGTAGCCTCAGCATATTTATCAATTTAATATTTCAAGCAGCCTTCATTCCCACTAGATCAAGTATTTTGTTGTCCCTACGTAAGGCCACCCTCAGGTATAGCTTGGAAGATAATGGAGTTCAGGGGATATCACTAATTTCTAAGGAGAATAAGCAAAGGAGATATGCTGGGAAATTCTGTAAAGAATGTAAGGAAATCATGAATTGGCTTTAATCTGTTCTATGTATATACTTGCACACCTAAATGTACTTCTTGGAAACCAGGGAAGCTACAGAGCAACTTGAGGGGTGAGAATGTTCCCCACTCTGCATGGAAGCCACATCAATGGAAGGCATTCATGTAAAGCTTATACTTTCTGGACCTCAAACCCTCCCCAATCTAGCCGCATCTATAATATGCTCTCATTCCCACCAACGCTCCTAGGGAAAGCTAGATACAGCACATTTTCAACAAATTCTAACATGAACTTGAGTTTTAAGGAACAGGGAGAATATGTTTTCTGTTCTAGATGGTAGCATTTTCTCTCCAGCATGGCTTGTTTATAGCTGTCATTTAGCAGCTGAGGGCACTTTTTTGTAAGCTGGCGGTCTTCAGTCCCTGGTTTGTCATATTTGACTCCTACCCAAACGCTGACATATTAAAAAAAAAAAAAAAAAAAAAAAAAATCAGTAACTCACTTTTGTTTGTTCTTTCAGCTCCTTTGAAGATTATGAAACAGAGGAAACTGTCTCTCCCTCTGAAATTGGAAACAAAGGCAATAAAAGTAAAATAGTAACCTCAGACCTTTCAGAAAAATGTGGAAAGCTTCAGTCAGTGGATGAAGAGTAGCAGCCAGTGTCTACATGAGAGATACATGTTTTAAATGTCTTTTTCTTGTGGAGATGCTCCAGTTTGCATACTGCTTTTAAAGGCTTTGATTTCTGCAAGTATGTATCTGCACTAGGAACTTTAAAACGTTTTAATAAGTCTGGATACACATACTCAATTTGGGGGACTCCTCCAATTTGCCTCAGACCTCTTGGCACAGCTTTTTCTTCAAATACAGTGATACACACCACCTTCCAAAGTCTGTGAATCGGCACTCTTCACCCCTGAATGTACCAAGGATCTCTCGAGGACAGTGCCAAGCACAGTTCTCTGCACAAAAGCAGGTGTTGCCTCTGTTGTCCAGCATCTTTGAGGCCCCTCAGGGCTCCTATGGAGCCCAGAAGAAACCTTCACTTGCAGAAAACTTGAGTAAAAAATATTCTGGAACTTTAAAAAGCAGTTAAGGGCCTCCAGAAGTGACTTAACCCTGGTAATAAAAGCACTGCCAAAACATCTCAAGAGACTTTAAATATGTGTACTGGAGGAGTTCAAAGATCTTGAACTTAACTTGGTTTAATGTAACTTCACAATGACCTGCCAAACTGCTAGTCACTTTACATCCTCAGGTATTGTAACCACTGGGCCTTCCAACCTTGCTGGCAAGTTCTGAATAATCTCTCCCCTTCCTGACTGTGGATCTTACATGAAATATGATGAAAAAACGTTTAATTACAGAATTTGACTCATACTTGAAAAAAAGTTTCCTTTTAACTTATCTAACATTTGTGAAGAATTACTGAATGACTTATTAATCTCCAAATTAGTTGATACCCCGTCTGTACTTCCTACTAGAAGGCCTACTGTGAAGACTTAGTGACATGAAAATTCTTACTAGATGTATTCATCACTGAATATTAGACTAAGCCAACAGTTAAGGCCTCAATCCCTTCGTATTGAAAAGAACAATTTCAAATATTCTATCACCTCAATATTTATCACAAAAATGGGAAAAAAGTGATGTCACCCATAAAGGAAAACTGTTTCATCTGTACTGTAGAGGTAGAGGTGTTCATTACAGAATTCTACATTTTTTCAGCAAGCCACAGTGCAGCCAAATCCTATAATACCCTTAAAGATAAAACAAAGTAAACTATGAAAAAAGAATGGACATTAATAGTGTAAGCAAAAGAAACCCCCAAGAAACTAACATCCATGTCAAAGTCCTCACCTTTTCCCCTGGGTTTTTTGCTTTAACCACAAGTCCTAAATGTCAGAACAGTATCCCTTGCCACCCTGCTTTTGTTCCTCCTAACTGATGTTAAAGTTAAAAAAATTAAATAATCAGACCTATAATCAGGCTATGGTGGGCAAAAAGTAGAGATAAGTGCTATTTAGGAAATGTACCATCAACTGGTACAGTAATAGTTTTTTTTTTTTTTTTTTCCCAGTATCCTCTGTTGCCTGCTATTTTACTTTTCATGATCAGAATTAATCCTCTACTTCATGGTAACAGAAAATGATAAATATTAAAATTTGGCATCTAATCGTTCAACAACTAAAAGCTTTAAAAAATGACTAAGTTTTTAGGAAACACCACATGTAATAACCTAAACACACTAGTAAATTAGGATTAAAAATATTTGTGATACATGAAATTTACCATCTATTCCATCCACTCTTTACTAGGGAGAGAAGGCAATTATTTTTTTTTTTAATTTCAGGTAAAATATTAAAAAGGTAATACTGGCTTTAGAAGCCAGATATGGTTTAAAGGTTTTATTATCCATAATGATCTAAACTATTTCTAAAGACTCCATCAACAAAAAGTTCTAAAGACTCCATCAACAAAAATTAATCTTCCAATAGATATTTGATTTTTTTAATACTGTTTGGCTTTTATCTTTTTACCTTGTGTCTCCTTACTGAAATCCTCTTGCTTTTACTTTGGTCTGTATTTGGTTTAAAAGTCTGTAATTATTATAAAAAGTAACAGCTACCAATATCATTCAAGATAAAGCTATTTTAATTTAGGTTACCCAAAGTATATTTTCAGACGTAAGTGTTTCACTGTAGTCCTTTCTTAAGAGCTGAATTCAAGAAATGTGAATTCCAAGGAAATAGGACTTTCTGGTAAATATCTCACCAAATAAACCCGCCCAACTAGAAATTTAAAGTTTTTACAACATCCCAGGCTGCATAATAAAAATTAAATTGAGGGTTATTGTGGTCTTAATGCTATTCAGTGAAAAGTGAGTTTCATAGCGAAACATTAATTGCCAAGGTAATCAAACTAATAAAATTGTGTGTATTTTCCCTGCATCTTATCTATGTCATTGTGTACAATTCACAGTGTTTATAAAATTCTAGATTGATCAAATGAGGTAAATCATTTGGTCAACTTTTGAAAATGTTATGAAGTGTGCTTGGGTGGAGAAACCTGCATGATTTAACTTGTTTTTGTTTTTCCCTTTTTGCAAAACTAAATAAAGAGACAAGTTGTCAAGTATGAACCATGTTCACTAAGATAGTCACTACACATTTTTGGTGTTATTCACACTTGCACCTCATTTTTATGTTTGAAAGAGTAACATCACAAACAAACTTGAGTTTCAAAGAATAATTCTTTGAACCCCTGGGAAAATCATAAAGGAATATATAACTGGTAAGTTCTTTCCTTTGGGGAGATAAGGAAGAGGATTAGATACTGGGAATGAGAGGGTCACAGGTATCAAGAGGGACTTTAGCCTTATGTACTTTTTAGCCTTATGTATATTGTATTCTTTTAGAAGAATGTGTAATTGTTATTTGCATACCTAAAACCTAATTTTTTAGAAAGGAGGGACAAAAGTTAAACTATCATCCAATTATTACAATCTGATGCTGTACTTTCAAGTTAGTATTTTCTAAAACATTTTATATTGGTTACCTATGATATGGGAAAGGAAATTTTGTTTTTCTTCTGTTGTAAAACTTTTACTTTTCTTCAAAGGTCACCAAAGAGTTGTTTCAAGAATACTAAGATCACAGTAAAATAAAAGGAATTCTTTATCCTAGGACCGTATTATAGCTCTGCACAGAAACACAGACTTACTGAAGCTAACCAAAAGGATAAATCGCCAGTTCTGACACTTCTATCATCTGATTATGTATGTTAACAAAGATTCAAAAGAACAAATGAAAATGTGTCATATTAGAAGTTGTTATTGTTTTGATGGTTTCAAATCCTGATAAAGTAAATCCAGTTACTGCAGTAATAATTTCTCAATCATCCCTAGTTAGCCATTAGTCAGCATTCCTAAATAACTCATGGTATAAAGAAAAACAATGCAAAAATCAAGGCACTGTAATTATTCTTCCCCAAATATATATAATATAGGCCATTCAGAGCATACTATCCCAAACTCCTCAGTATTCTACAACATAGAATTAGAAAACTAACATTTATTGATAGATTTAAGGTGTAATACAGGTTTCCAAAAATGTGGCAGTGAGAATACCAGCATAAAAAAGAGAAACTTGTGCTAAAAACAACCTGAATTAACCACTGGCAATATTACATAACAATCAAGGCCCTCACATACTAATGATTTCCGATTTGTCTATATTGCCAACCTCCCATGCATCAAAAAACACAAAACTAAAATTATCAAACTTGGGAAGCAATAAAGTACTCTATGAATTTTAAGATCATAATATTAGGAAAGTTTGGGAGATTTGCAAAATATATCCTAATCATCCATGTGTACAATCTCATTTCTAGTCATTTCTGCAGTGATCATTAGTGAATAAAGAACAGATTTACAAGTTTATATAGCAGGGCATCTGGGTTTAACACAAAACTGTTACAAACTTTAGGCAAATACATGTTTCATAAGACACTGCTAACACTTAGAGGAATTAAATAAAATTCCAAAACTTGGAAAGCAAATAAAGACAAGACAACTAAGAAGCATTTTCCACCATTTACTCTTGTTATCAAAAATAGTTCAACTCTTCTTGCAAAACAAAAACAAAATAGTACATACTGGACACATACATCACATTTTTCTTCCTATGGCTTTAGCCCACCCCCACCCCACCAAAAAAAAAAAAAAAAAAAAAAAAAAAAAAAGAAAAAAAAAAAGCCCAACAACAACAAAACAATTCTACCTGACCACATTCACAGAAAATGACACCAGGATACACTACAAAACAGAAGGAGGTGTCATCTGCTCTGTGTCCAAAGGTTTCTTCTCCATGTCTTGTACTAGGTGAGTAACCATCATTGAACATGCTGTGTGCCAAATCAAAACATAACTTCACTTCAACATATGTCAGATCTCACGAGAGATGGTGAATGTAGTAGAAATTGGAAATTTTCCAGCAGTATTTTTCTTTAAATAAGCACTGTCAAAGCAGCAATTCTTTTAAATCATAAGGTCGTTTCTTTACAACCTAGTCAGTCCTTGTTTTATTTGGGCTGTGCTCTTTCAAGCAACTGACTAGATTACCCTTCAACAGAATGTTTGTGACTTACTTGTCTTCCCATAAAAATTAAAGGGAAGCCATGAATTTAAACTGAAACACAGTTTGTGCTTTACATGCAAAAGAGCATTCTAAAGAAAATCCTCCTAGCTTCAAACCTACATAAATGCACAGGTTTCATAAAAATGCATTTTTTTATTTGGCCTCTATAAAGAAGCCCTCATAATGAATAGCACCCCAAAAAAGAGAAAAGGAGCATATTCAAAATAAAGTCTGTGAAACTATTAGAAGAAACAAACAAACAAAAAAATCAAAGAAGTGGCCAATAACAATAAATATAACACATAAACCTGTAAGTTTGGGGGCATTATTTCAAAATTATTTCAAATAAATCCCAATTTCTAAATAAAAATTTTTATAATTTTTAAAAAATTCTGTCACATCCTGTAGTCTAAATTCAATTACCTTCAGAATAAAACTGCTCTTCTCCACTTCATTTATCTAATTAGAACATGCTAAAAGTGAAGGTTTTCCAATTTTCTTCCCTAGAAATGAGTCAGACTAAATATAAATGTTATTCAAACTCAAAAGAGTTTTATCGCATAAACAGCTAAACATCTGCAATCTTGACAGAATTTGTTCACTTTAAAAGACAGATTTCAACATTCTAATGAGGGGCAAATTTTCTTTCATAATACTGCTGATTTAAGAACTGCTACATACACCAGTAGCCAATCTTCATGATCAGAAATGGTATTATGTCAGCACAAAGGTTGAGCCGGACACATCAGCTTTTCAACAGGAGGAGCATCAATGGCATCTGAAGGCAGCACTGAGTCCCCTGAACTAATGGCTACTTTTTCACAAAAAATCAGCACAATCTTTTTGGACTGACTAGATACCACTTCCTTACACTTAATCATAAACTTTGATTATGCACAAAGCATGACCATAAACAATGAGGTTAATGTTATTTTCCTTGCCAAAGTTCATTTTGTATAAATCAGTTGCATCAGCATTTGTTCTCAAACTATGAGGTTCTGTAAGAACTAAGGACATATAGTTGTAGGGTTACTCCTCCATTATCTGCAAACTATTTCCCCGACACTAACACATATAACTTAGCAATGAAAACACTTGATACAAGTGATCTATATGCAGGAGCTCCGGCAAGTTAAACCAACAAAACCATAGCTGCCGTAACTGTAGCTATTTCCCTACCAGAGGTAGGTTTAAAGACCCACTGATTTAACAGTCGAATCTCATGTCTATAGCTTCATCCAAACTTTTATCATCATGTGTACTGGCAGCTAAAAACGTTGTTACTGGGGACCCTGTGACATTAATTACACTGGTGCTGGTACTAGCATTGCGCACAGCAATGCTAGTCACATTAATGCCCAAAGTGAGCCTGGTCTGCTCCAAGGCCTTTTCTGGCACAGCAAATGCCTCCAGCTTCTTCTCCCCGTTGGCCATATAGGAGTTTTGGCAGCCACGACATATACAATCTAAGCAGGCTTTGCGGTTAGAGTAGCAAGGGCAGCGTTGGCCACGGCATGTAAGAACACTTGGATTTTGAGTAGCACGCCCACATTTACACCCTTTCTTTTCCTGGGGTTTTTTATACACAGTCTTGGTAGGACTTCCTGGCATAAAATGGTGACTAGGAATCTTTTCCTTTACAGTTTTGTCTTTTTTAAGAATACCTGGCTTGGTTTTAGAGTGAGATTTCTTGGATCCGTGTTCATGACTCTTTTTCATGCTTTTAGTAGATAAAAGTACAGTTTTGCTGATTTTGGGTGTTGTGCCTCCATTGGGAACAGTTGCTATAGGTTGAAGAGAAATTTTGCTCTCCCGTTTCACTGTCACAGGGGCAGATGCCCCCAACGTTGGGCCTCGGATAATGGTAGAAATTGGAAGTGGCTGAACTTTCTCACTGTCACTTTCTGATCTCGATCGTTTTCTATTCAATTTTGCTA